TCCCCGCCCGCGGCGGCGGCGGCCCCTCTGTCCGCGCGCACCGCGCCGCCGCGGTCTCCTCCCTCTACCCTGCCTCGGTCGCGGCCCGGCTCGGTCACCGGCAGGTGAGTGACAGGTCGCTGCCTCGGGCGCTGAGAGGTCACGGGTCAGGGCCGGCGCCGTGCCACCGTGTGGCCCGGGCGCACCGCGGGGACGAGCCGGCTGCCGGGTGGTGACGTCACGCAGCAGGCAGCGATCCGACGGTTGCAGACGCTACACTCTGCTGCGATGCACGGCATCCGTCCAGGGAGAGGGATCCAGCGCCGGCTGCGGGGCGCAGATGAGCATCAGCACTCGCACGACGGCGAGCAGGGTCAGGCACAGCGGGCCAGGTCTCGATGCATGAGGAGGTTCAAGTCCGTCACACGTGACACGACCGTCACGCAGCCGAGTTTCGTCCAGTGCGAAGATTCGGGATCAGTCCTGGGCTGTTAGTACCACTTTCACTCCAGATGCACATTGAAAACACACACACCGGATAGGCAAAATGGGTACACGGGTAGGAGCGAGCAGCGCTCGCGTCCGCACAGGGCGGCGCGCTCAGCTGAACTGGTTTATACTCAAGGTTCATGCATCCTCTCCTTTCTCTGTCTATCTCCCTCTCTCTCTCTCTCTCTCTCTCTCTCCCTCTCTTTCTCTCATCTATCTCCTCATCTTCATCTTCTGATTTTTGTTTTGATCTCTCATTGTGTTCTTTTTTCAGAGACGGTGATTCACTAATCTCGAACAGAGACGTCACGGACGGGATAGTTCGTCAGTCGCGACCGGAACAAATATGACGTCATTGGTAGTCAGGAACGGAAATTATGACGTCATACATAGTCACGAATAAACATATTGTCAACAAAAATCAGATAAAACTTGTCACGTCATAACTAGCTGTGAGGAAATATGATGAAGTCGTCAACAATGAAGTGCTTACATAATGAGGGATCACCAAAAATAAAGAGCAAATAGGTATCATGCCAAGCCCTCAAAAGTTGCGAGGAATTTTGATGACGTCTCCGAAAAACAGCCCGAGACTGCTGTAATGACGTCACGAATAGTCACGAGAAAATGTGATAATGTTACAAAAGCCACAAGCAGCTATGATGACAACCATCAATGTGTAGTCAATTCAAAACAAGACATAACAGAATAGCATTGTATGTCTTTTCTGGCTGTCTGGGCATTGTCCACCGATCATAGGAGAAAAGCATTTGAAACACACTCTTGTAATCGAGATTTCAAAGTTATGCTATAGCATAACTGTGCCACCTTCGTATACGACGTCGGCGCAACGTATCGGCATAAAGTCAACAAAACGTAAAATGACGGACCTTTCGTCAACCTTGCCGACGCACGCTTGTAACGTTGCCATAGCGTCCTGACAACGTTGTACACCATAACTTACCGAAATGCAACGTTTTGACAACGTTGTGCCAACGACATCCGTGAGCTGGGCAGGACCCTGGAACCCAATGACAACTTCACTGTACCAAGTTCTAGCAGCGCCCAATTTTACGACCTTTGGGTCATTGACTTGACCTGGAAGTTCAACCAATGAACTAGGACATGGACAAATCTGCGTAGAATCGGCCTCCTCTCGACACATGCAACATGCTCGTTTTTTTTCGCGAAGTTTTATTTTCGTTAGGAAAGTATCGCTATCCAGTATCCAACATTGTTATCTGCCGTTATCGACCGTTAACCCTCGCCGGCCGAGGGGGGGGGCGGGTGCCGCCCCCCCCCCATAGTTTTTTTTTCGCGATAGCTCCGAACACGCTGGCGATAGAGAGCTGAAACTTGGCATACCTGACCTTTGATCCAAGCCGGATCTTTTGACACCAACCGCATTTTAGGTCAGGTCAGGTCACTGACCTATGACGTCATACGTGAACCTCTGCACGGTCTTCAGATGTCGCAACTTCGCAACGCCCTCACTGCCAGAGGAGATGTCACAGGGAAATGAAACTTGCAGGATCTAGTATCCATTATGAGTCCCACAACTTGTATATCTCGGATTTTTCCTAAAGGTCATATGAGGTCAGATCATTTTCGTGACCTCACCATTATAAGTCAATGGGGAAAAATGAAAACTGCTATTCTGGCGCCGGGAACGATCTCCAACTATCTCAAGCACACAGAATCGTGATTTGATGCACTCCTTGCAAGGTTAGATGCGTCACTTTTGCAATGTTGACCTTGCGTGACGTCATTTATGACGTCATCAAGGTCATATTAGTTTTTCGTCAATAACTCTTGATCAAATTGAGCTAGCGAGTCGGGAAAGCCACCAATGGACTCAGGAAGGCCTGCCGAATCGAATGATATGCGACATGACCTCTTTCGACCAGCTTCGTGACCTGGGGGTACTGACCTGACCTTGACCTGAGTTCAACACCCCAAGTTGACCTGACCCGGACAAAAAGTATATCATTCGACGCGCCTGAGCGAGGCGAACACGATGCTGCCAAAATCGGCGCTCTGCGGCCGTTTTTTGCGAAGTTATTCACCAAAAACTGAACCGTACCTTGGGGCACTTGACCTGACCTCAGAGGTTACCGGTTGACCTAGGACCTTAAAATTGGGTACCAATCTCTGCGTCTCGTAACGGCGCACACGCTCGTTTTTTCCGCGACGCGCTAGCTCCACCAGGGGCGAAACGGCGAGGGGGGGTCGTACCCGCCCCCCCCCCCTCGGCCGGCGCGTATGTAGAAAACCAATAGGTCCGGCGAGGGTTAACCTACTAGATAATGGATATTGCCGAAAAATGGTAATGGGAAGATTCTGTCCCCCCCTCTCCCCCGGCGCGGGTTAACCCGGCACCGCCTGGGCTATTTCCGTACCCACATCAGCCTGGGGGGGGGGGGGTCGGATCCGACCCCCCCCCTGTTATCTCGAGAACCAATGGTCGTATCGAGCCCCGCGAGGCGGCGTTCGAAAGGTCTCTACGAGACCTTCCCAAAGTACTCTTAAGATTTTAAGATTGAGGTCAACTTTCGGGTCAAGGTCAGGTCAAAGGTCAAATTCAGGGGTTTTGCATGATTAGGCTTACGGACAGCGGAATCGATAGCTGCTGCTCGAAACTCACCACAAATGACCTCAAAGACCTAGTGAAGGTACCATGTGCGTACAGGGGTCATACTAAGTACGGGTCAAGGTCAGGTCAGGTCACGAAAGGTCACGGTTTTCACTTTCTGCTACATGGGCGTGCGACTCATGTTTTATGGCTTATTTTTCACGCCAAATCCGATGGTAATGGTTTTATGTGACCCCAAGTCACTGTGCTGGTGATAAGTGTGCATTGAAAGCATAAAAAATCGTTTATACCATACATAACTAAACAAGGGCTAAGAAAAAAAGTCAATTTTTCAACTTTTTATTTTTGACATAAAAATAAACTTTTCTAGACGAGCTTTGTCCCAGGAATCTAGTGGTGCCATTTGTTTTCACATGCGATGTTCAGAAGTGCCTCTAATTCGCGAAAATGCTTATGACGTCACCATGCCCTATGCATGTTGGAGCTATTTTTTACAATTTGGGGGTCAAAAATCAAGATAGAAAGTTGAAATTTGGGACATCAAATGTTCTAATAGAGCTCTATAACATATAATCCGGTTTTTTGGAAATTCTCCAAATTTTGGATTTTATTAGCTGTTTTCCAAAAAATATAGTTTTTTGAACTTTTAGGGGTAAAAAACGCATTTTATGGAAAATCCGAGACAGCCATTTTAAAGAACTCGTTGAGCTGCGTCTTTTCATGTCCTTAATTTGTAATTTGCTTAAAACCTCGATTTTTGGAGATTTTTTAAACATTTACCATTTTTTGACTGAAAACGCCATGTAGTTACATCACTAAAATCGATATATCTCAGAAATTTTTGAAATTTTTTTCTTAAAAATCGCACAAGAGACGTCAAATTGATGGGGGAGAAGGTATGCCAAGTTTCAAGTTGATAGCGCAAGTGGTTCATGAGTTATTCAAGAAAAACGGAGGGGGGGGTCGGATCCGACCCCCCCCAGGCGGTCGCGGGTTAACCCTCGCCCGCACATGGGGGGGGGGGGTTGCCACCCCCCAGGTAGTCTTTCTGCTCTGCACTCAACATTTTTTGAGCTAGAAGGCTGATTTTTCGTATAGCTGCTCCTCTATCCTTTCTTGATGTCCACTGAAAATTTCAAGTTTCTGTGGTTTTTGGTTTCGGAGATATGACCTTGTTTTTCAGGTCATGTCATGACCCAAATGGCCAATCCTCAACATCTTGCGTTGGCTATGGGCCTTGTGAGCTTTTAACACCTTGATTTCGGCCTTTTATGCCAATCCTACCTCCCACCTATCATGAAACATGTTGTTCGACGATGTACAGAGGTCATGGTCAGGGTCAAGGTCAACCTAGGTCATCTAAGATAATTGCGTTTTAGTCAAGCTGAATTTACTTTTTTTGAAATTTTTTTACTACATTTTTGGTAAAAGCTTCTCAGATCATGATTTCATGTAATATGGACACATAAACAATCGGTGCACACATCAGTATACACACAGACACACACAGACCTACAAACACATATTATTGACCTTGACCTAACTTGACCTGAGATGACCTCAGCAGCAAAAACCTGGTCGGGTAGTGTGACAAAGAGGTTCTAGCTGACTTGGCACCAGAAAACGGCATCGTCATCGGTATATGACAAGCAGCGCGCTTGATATCCAACGGTGACCTAAAACAGCAACATTTTTTAGTTTGACCTGACCTGGAAGGTCAATGACTGACCTGAGAAGGTAAAACTGGGTATCATTGGATTTGTCTTTTCCCAAAGAATCTTTTTGGTCTTTACCGCTAAGCTCTATCTCCAACAGAAACGAAATGGCGCGGGGGGGTGGCAACCACCCCCCCCCCCCATGTGCGTTCTAGGATGGGAAAATGGCATGTGCGGGCGAGGGTTAAGTAGCAAAAGAAAGTATGGAAAATATAGAAAAACGATATAACTTGCATGCGTTTATTGCGAGCAATCACAAGCAGCAAAAGCATTATCATATTCATGTGAGTGAAGTGTAGAATTCTTGTCCTGTAAGAAAAAAAAAAACGCGTAGTTCATTCACCTTTCTCCGATACAGGTGTCCTAAAAGTATGTCTCATTTGCTCACTTTCGCGCTCATAGATCATTCACACATTTTTTAGACAGTGTGGGAAAAAGCCACTTACCTATCCCTTATCCCTAAAGCCGTACATAACAACGGCACTTAGCAATTAATTACACTTGTTTCTCACGTCAAACAGATTCTATTACATTTGTTTCTCACGTCAACCAGTTTCTATCACATTTACACCCAGCAGCAAGTTCAACAGCACACACCATGTGAATGTACAGTCTCTCACAAAAGTACCGATACACAGACAATGTGAGGGGCGGAGAACCGCCGGCTAAACTCGCCCCGCCCCCCCCCCCCCCTCGCCATCGTCACCCATCCCCAGGTCAGGCGATTCGGTGGCTCTCAAACTTGGCAGTCCTCCCTCGGTCGGGTTTGTTGACACCGCCGCACAGTGTATCGGTACTTTCAGGAGAGACTGTACGCAATAATAACTTTCCAGTTTTCACAGGCGTCTTTAGAAATGTAAAGGACATATGGTGCCTTCATTCTATCGATTCCGTAAAGGAGGGTGCTCTAACGGATAAAGCTGGATAAGGCAGCATTGACGATCATATAACTGTGTATCTTATCCATATTTTTAGTCCCTAAGTCACACAATCTCTACAATTGCTCACATCATTTGAATGATTTTAACCCTCGCCCCGTTGGGGGGGGGCCATTTTGGCCCCCCCCTGTGGTTTTTCCCGAATAGCAAGAAAACGGCGGCGCGCAGCGCCGCCAAATTTTCAGTACCTTCCCGGGCATCAATTTGACACCTTCACACAAAATTTCAAGTCTTAGGTCACCTTAGGTCAGGAGTTATTGAGGTCAAACTGAGGTCATGTTCGAGCAAAAATGAGCAAAAAACATGCAATCTTGAAACGCTCACCAAATCTACAGTTATCAAGCAATTTTAAAGTTCTTTATATGGTCTAGTAGACAAAAAGCGGCGCTACAAAACTGCTATCTCGGATTTTCAAAATTTTGGGTTTTTGACCCCAAAAAATTCAAAAAATTGATTTTTTTAGAAAAACTAAAAAAAAATCCAAAATTTTTCCGAATTTCGAAAAAACCGGAATATATGTGATAGTCCCTGCGCTCTTCTATATACATACCAAATTTCAGATCGATATCTCGTTTTTTGGCCAAGTTATAGCAAAACAACTGTTCAAAAATGATGACATCAAATTTTTGAACTCAATTTTTAGCGATTCTAGACCACGTACGGCAAAACAAAGACCACCGTTGAACTCCCCGTGACGAGCTGCATCGATTCGATACCTATTTTATGCAAAAATATCAACTTTGAAATTTGACCTAGTTTGACCTGACCTTGACCTGACCTTGACCTGACCTTGACCAAAACGTGACCTAGGCTGGCCCCAAAGGCTGCCTGACCCACATAATCGCATTTGTCATGTGAAATGGACCATAAAACATGTATCACACGACACTTTCATATTGTGACCCCCCAGTGACCTGACCTCTGTGACCTGACCTGGTATCAGTGACCTCAAATAGCAAAATATGTGTTTGAAGAACATTTCCCCATCGATGATTTTCAATGAAATGCATTTTACTCGATTTTACAACGCATTTCTTGAAATGCCTATAAACGGTGAAAATTGGACCTTTGACCTGACCTGTGACGTCATCGGTTTGACCTAGGTCAATAAAATTGGGTCACAAGGTAGTTCCCTGATAGAGCTATCCAACACCGTTTGCCGCTTGTCGCTAGGTTGCGTGGTTCTCGAGATCTTAGGGGGGGGCCAAAATGGCCCCCCCCCCAACGGGGCGCGTTGCTCGGCAGAGCCCAACGGGGCGCGGGTTAACCGAACTATCACGTTATTGTTTCTCATCATACATGATACAGGAAACGCATAAGCAGAAGCAGCATAGTAAGAACAAGCGATAAGTGTTTGGCACCACCGTGTTCACCCGGTGCACGCTGATGCTGAAGGAGCGCAGTTTCACCGGCTCCTAGTTGGTGATGAAGCCCGGCAGACTGTCGTCCCATTTGTCCGTCATATTCTCGGATCCTTCCAATCCAAGGGTGAACAAGTCTGCCGGTACCGGGTGGAGTATGACGTCATACGGGGACAAAATATGACATGTGACGTCACTGAGGAGCCAACAGGTGCTATATGACGTCATGGAAGAATAGTGCCACAGTGACGTCACAGCGGCGATAACTGACTGAATGAACATAATGACGTCATCCATAGGTGTAGGAACGTTTTCGAAAGTGGGGGGGGGGGCAGGCTCCCAGAGGAACAAAACCTCACCTACCCCAAAATCCATTTTCTCCTCGGATTTCGGCCACTTTATTTTCGCAAGCACGCTCAAATTGGTAAAAAAAACGTGACAAGAAAAAAAAATCGACCAAAATCTCGGGGAGAATCCCGTCCAGAAATTTAATCTCATGGACGCGTCCCCCTGGCCTCCGTAGCCGCGTTGGCACCAAGATCGGATCCAGAAAAACTCCAAGGGGAGGGTCATCAACCAAATCATCAATCGAATCAAAGTAGTGCCCCTACCTATACCCAAAATTAAAACCAACTGATTTCGGCCACTTAATTTTGGTGGTGCCCTATTTTCATTTAATATTTATTTGTTTTGCCATGGCAGGAATGTGGTGCCCCTGGCGGGCCTGTGGTGCCCCTGCTAGGCCGCAGTTGCCCCTGGCAGGTTTGTGGTGCCCCTGGAAGGACTGTGGTGCTCCTTACACGAGCCTGAAGTGCCAGCGACAGGCCCATGGTGCCTCTGCGAGGCCGGTGGTGCCCCTGCGAGGCCGTGGTGCCCCTGCTAGGCCGCTGGTGCCCCTGGGCCCTGGCAGGACTGTGGTGCTCCTGACAAGCCTGAAGTGTCCCCGACAGGCACGTGATGCCCCTGACAGTCCCAAGGTGCCCCTGCGAGGTCAGTGGGTGCCCCTGGCAAGCCTGTGGTGCCCTTGGCAGGTCTGTGGTGTCCCTGGCAGACCTGTGGTGCCCCTGCTAGGCTTCTGGTGCCCCTGACAGGCCTGTGGTGCTCCTGGGCCCTGACAAGCCTGAGGTGCCCTTGACAGGTCCGTGGTGCCCTTGACAGGCCCAAGGTGTCCCTGAGAGGCCGGTGGTGCCCCTGCGAGGCCGGTGGTGCCCCTGGAAGGGCCTTTGGTGCCCCTGGAAGACCTGTGGTGCCCCTGACAGGTCTGTTGTGCCCCTGGCAGACCAGTGGTGCTCTTGCTAGGCCAATGGTGCTCCTGACAGGCCGGTGGTGCCCCTGTCAGGTCTGTGGTGCCCCTGATAGGTCGGTGGTGCCCCTGGTAGGCCTGTGGTGCCCCCGGGCCCCAAGGGGGCATGACCCATGTGACCCCACCTTGGATCCGCCACTGGTTGGCACCCATGCGAATTCCAGAAGCATCCAAAAACATTTTTATTACGAGCGAGCGTGAAACGTGAGAAGCGAAAAGTCAGCAAAAGGTGTGTGTGTGGGGCGGGGGGCAGTTAACATTGCTGGCCCCCATTCGAAAGTGGGGGACCATTGCCCCCTGCCCCCTGTTCCTACGCCTATGCCAGTAACCGATCAACTAATGCAAGGTCGCCTAACATAAATTGTTAGTTTACGCCGTTTACGCATTCTGCTGCGCCAGTATTGTCTCTCTTTGCAGCGCGCGCTGCCCCTAAGCTGCCACTTATTGCTTCTGACAAAGTTACCTTTCATTGGGTGGAGGAAAATTGCACTCAATAACGATGAAGCACAAATGGAAATCTTCATGGAAGGGCAGGCCAGAGAACCGTCAGGTTTGTTCTTCGGGGTGATACCTACAAATGCATTAAAAAGTTCGGCAAAAAGTGGGGGGGGGGCTAATTAACATTACTGGCCCCCCACTATGAAAAGTGGGGGGCCACCGCCCCCCGTCCCCCTGTTCCTACACCTATGAACGATATGACGTCACTGGACTGGTACGATAAAATAACCGCAACATTGACAGAAAAACATCACCACGGGATAGTAAGAATCATGTCTCTATTTCTGTTTTGGTCACAATAAAACAAGGGCTGTCAGCACACTTACAACTGCAGTGTGATGGACATACATGCTCGATCGATATCGCCTCCCCAGCATTCCTAGGAACATTACATCCCACATAATTCATCATGCTACAGTGACCACTCGCGGCAATGACCCCTGAACTCCGGACGCCCTGAATTCGTACACACTGATCGGAACTAGAATGCATCGGCCGTAGAATACCTACATACACGGTGCACTGCACGGTACACTGCAAACATTGTATATTCAACACCAATTTACTCTGCCTAAAGTTAACCCTCGCCCGTATAAGGGGGGGGGGGGTCGAACGGACCCCCCCCATGGTTTTTCGCGAATAACTCGCGTAAAAAGCGGCCGATCATGACAAAACTTTCAGTACCCTCGCGTTCAACAATTTCACACCTACCCTAAAAAATTTAATGACCCTGACCCGAATGACCTTTGACCTGTGACCTACTTTTCGAGACCATGTTTGGCTGGAATCGCGATTCGGCGTATGTCGGCTCGCATTAGCCGCGCGTTTGCAGTCTTTTCGTGGTTTCAAGCGTTCAAACATGTGATATGATGTTGCCCCCATGCATAAGGGTGGGTGACAAGGTCACCTGAAGGTCAGGTCAGGTCATTGACCTTTGATGACCTCGGTTCACCTTTTCGAGTTTTACATGTTTCTAGGCCAGTTTTTGGAGCTGAATTCGAATTTAGCAACCATATGAACATTTACGAAGTAGTTTTGGTGCCTTCGTAACATGTTACGAAGCTGTCAGAGGCGGTTGCCACCTATACTACGAATACGCTTACTGGTTGACCTGACCTGACCTGACCCGACCTGGACTAAATACATGAAGACATCATCTGTGATCAAAACTAACATGATATTCGTGATCAGCACCCCGAAAAACCCAATGACAGCCACACTTTACGACGTTCTAACAGGTCCCGATTTTCCCGCCTTTGGGGTCATTGACCTGACCTGCAAGGTCAACCAATGACCTAGGACCTTAAAATTGGGTATCATCGGCTTCCTCTCGTCACGGGCAACACGCTCGTTTTTCCACGAAGCTCTAGCTCGATCAGGGGCGAAACGGCAAGGGGGGCCCCTTAAACGTTCGCGGCTGGAAAAACACCAATACGGGCGAGGGTTAACCCGCGCCCCGTAGGGGGGGGGGGCCGAAACGGCCCCCCTGTCCTTTTCGGTCGATATCTCCTAAACGGCTGGAGATATCGCCACCAAACTTTTAGGACCCCTCCGGGCATCGATTTTACACATTGTGACCAAAATTTTTTCCAGAGGCTATGATAGGTTGGCCACAAATGACGTCAGAATGACGTCATGTTCTGTCATTTTCGACCGAAAAAAGACCTTCGCGAGAAGACCTGTCAGGCCTACAGCTTTGAAGATACAGAAAAATGATCAAGACACGAAAGGTGTAGAATTGACAAGGCTACAAAACTGCTATCTCGGATTTTTGAAATTTTTGAGTTTAGACCCCCAAAAATCAAAAATGCATTTTTTTGGATATATAAGCCGAAAAATCCAAAAAGTTTTTTGATTTTTGAAAAAAACCGGAATATATGTGATAGTACCTACCGTCTTCTATCTACATACCAAATTTCAGATCGATACCTCGTTTTTTGGCCAAGTTATAGCGAAAAAAACTGTTCAAAAATGATGACGTCAAATTTTCAAACTCAATTTTTGGCAATTCTAGACCTCGTAGAGCAAAACAAAGACCACCATTGGACTCCCCGTGACGAGCTGCATCGAATCAATACCCATTTTATGCAAAAATATCAACTTTGAAATTTTACCTAATTTGACCTGACCTTGACCTGACCTTCACCAAAACGTGACCTAGGCTGGCCCCAAAGGCTACCTAACCCACATAATCGCATTTGTCATGTAAAATAGACCATAAAACATGTATCACACGACACTTTCATAATGTGACCCCCGGTGACCTGACCTCGCTGTGACCTGACCTGGTATCAGTGACCTCAGATAGCAAAGTATGTGTTTGGCGAACAATGTACCATCGATGGTTTTCAATAAATTACCAATTTACTCGATTTCACAACACATTTCTTGAAATGCCTGTGAACGGTGAAAATCTGACCTTTGACCTGACCTGTGACGTCATCGGTTTGACCTAGGTCAATGAAATTTGGTCACAAGGTAGTTCCCGGGTGGGGCTATCGAACGCCGTTTGAATTTTGAAAATCGGCCGGTAACTTTCCGAGATCTTAGGGGGGGGCCGAAACGGCCCCCCCCCCTACGGGTGGTAGGGTCCGCCGGTAGCCCTACGGGGCGCGGGTTAAATTGCCGTTGTTTACCGGCTCTTCGTTAGAAATTGTGGACTTTATCCATGCTAGGCTGCTGCCATCTGGTGGTCAAACCGCTGTGTATGGTGCTGCCATCTGTGTGTTCCCTCCTGTCCATGGAAGGAACCACATGCAGCACCACCAAAACTTACTGAGGATGACTGCTGCAGGCGCATTCTGAGTCGGCGTGGTATTTTCGAATGATACTCCTACCAGAACTTATCCACTTTGATGCTGCTGGTGGACGGCGGCTTTCTCAGCTTCTCATAGACGAGTACTGTGGACAAGACAAGAAATGTAGAGAGGTTTGGAGTGCAACAGTTTGCATTAACAGTCACAAACTGTCGAAGATGACCATAAAATCTTATATGTAATAGGCAAGGGGCTTCTCAAAGTATACATTCAGGCGTCTGTAATGTGGCGTCACAAAGCGCAAATATGCAACATCGCACATAGCTATGACTTTATTGTCTGATGTGACGTGTCTCACCGGAACATAAACAGCTCATGAGTGTTTATGTCCACATGCGGCTAGCATAGCATTACAGCCGACAGCCGTGCATCAATGGCTACGCTGGCTGTCACTCTTTTCAATGAGTACAGCAAACTACAATACTGATTTCTCGTTTTATCTTTCTCAATTAAAGGTTATACAAAGCTCAGCAACACAGGCAATAATCTCCAGTTGCCTACAACCACACTTCCAGTCAATAGTCCCATTTCACACTGTGGGTGTCATTGTAAACATGCACACAGTGGGGTGCAAACACAAAGTACAACGATATATCCGACATGCACAATGCACAATGCAAATCGCCTACAGCCAGTGGTGTCACATAGTTAGGTCAGATTGATGCTTAAAAAATGATGCCGCTATGCTGATCATATAAGTTGTGACGTCACATCAGCGTTATGTGTTCATCTCGACCCGTTGAGAGTGTACGACAGCGGCTCCGAGAGGCCGGTGGCGCCGTGCCGTCTGTTGTGGGACTGATCAGAGGCGCTGGGCGGCGCCGCCACTTACCTAGGACCTGGAACCTCAGTGTTCTCGGCTTGCCGTCATCTCCTTTCCCCAGGTCTGCCTGGACCAGGACGTCCAGGACCCTCTGACTGAGCTGCTCCGTTGCGTAAACATGCAGCCACTCCAGTTTCCGACAGGTAACCACCAGTCTGCGATAGAGAAGTCAATCGGATACCAACTTTTTGGTATACCGATACCAAACCGATACCAACTTGGTATTTGGTATTTCAATCGTAATGTGTTTGGTATTTTGTTGGCATCATAAACCCTCACTAATGTATAAGAGGCTAAGAAATCGGTAAAAAGTTGGTATTTCCCTCATTTTCCCAAGTTGGTTTGGTTTCGGTATTTCCCCACGTTTTTGGTTTGTATTTGGTTTGGTATCGGTATTCCGATTTTCCGTAATTGACACCACTAGTCTGCGACACAACAGGACACAGGCCAGTCAGCGACACCAGCCGGCCGACCGGCCGTCTGGAGGGGACGAGTCCCGTCTCCACAAGGCCAGTTCAGGTCAGGTCCGGTCCGGTTGGGGTTCGGCGATCGGTTACGGTCTGAGACTGGGGCCGATGCGGTAGGTAGCGTACTAGCTGATATAAGATTTCATGCATATTGCATATACATATGGGTGATTATAGCCATGTGCATTGTAAACGTAATCAATACAACCATATACCTCAGTATAATGATGTCTATGATAAAGCAAAGTATGGCGTGGTTATGTAAATTTATGCAATAAATGGTTTTGCTGTGTAAATTTATAGGTGAAACAAGTGGTTCGGTCATAGGCAAAATACATGGCTCTACATACAGACATGGTTATTTGTGTTGGTCTGGTCTAGTCTGGATCTGGTCTGCGACTGATCTGGGTGTGGTCTGGGTGTGGTCTGGGTGTGGTCTGTAAGTGGTCTGGGTGTGGTCTGGTCTGCCTGGGTCTGATCTGATCTGGTCTGGTCTGGTCTTGGATGGGTAATGTCTGGTCTGGGCTTGGTCTGGGTGTGGTCCGGGTCTGGTCTGGGTCTGGGTCTGGGTCTGGTCTGTGTATGGTCTGTGTCTGGTCTGGTCTGTGTGTACAGCTGACTGACCTGCTGACCGCTGTGACCGGTATATCCGTACAGAGTTCACTGCGCTGTCCCAGCTGCATGTTACGCAGCTGGGAGCAGCCGTGGAGGGCGGCCAGTGAGGCGTAAGTGATGGCGCCGGACAGAGCGCCGTCAAGTGTGACGTCTTCCAGGCCGGTGAGGGCAGATAGCAGTCGCTGTAGGGCCCCGGCAGTGACACGCGGGCAGTCTGGGAAACACAGGCACATACAGACATGGTAGGTGAATGGTGTGGGAAATGACAGACATTATGCATATTGACATCAGCTGCGCATATAGCAAAATACGTTATCAGCACAGTCAATAGCATTGTAAGTGAAACTGGATATATTCACATAGCTGATGAGTAATTGTGATGCTGATCACTTTTATACGTGTCCCCTAAACGTCACCACACCACTCCGCACATACTCATCATGAGTGGCATCATACCCGTTGACATACCCGTCGTCGGCGGTATTAACATGACCGAACATACCACACATACACACATACAAACATATACGCATTGGTGACGTAATTGCCAATGCTGTCCATAGTCTATATGCCTATTGTTCCTTATTTACTGGTATGGTGCAACCATAGTGTAATGTAATACATAGTTATTTATTACACTATGGTGCAACCATGCATCGTTACTCAATGTTATCATTATATCGAACTACTCATATCAATACCCTGCTCGGCCACTACTGCTCACCATGTATGACTTTTCAGAAATATAGCACGATATGTAATCGACACAACTAATACCAAACAGCATTGTGCATGCAAGACATATTCACATAACCACTCCTGATATCGTCATATAAACCGTTGTAATCACACTACTCCGACGTACCCCCATGACCTGTCCCATGCATATGTCTCCGGTTCACCTGTGCTGGGACGGTGTTACCATGCACAACTACTCGTTGTCATCACTATACCTAACCACTCATACCGATAACCTGTCCGTGTCACCACCACTCACCGAACATGACCAGCAACCCAGCCCGACCAGCCCGTGGTCCCAGCTTCTTGGCCAGCTGGTTGATGACGTCATCTCCCGCCTGTTGTATGACGACCTCCAGCCCATGGTCGGGCCGTCTGTCCTCCGGCAGTGTCAGCGGCTCCCCCGTCTCCCTCGATCCTGTCGGAGAGAGAGCTGTGTCAGCTGACTGCGGTCGGACGGAGCTGCCGCCGGGTCGGGAGGCGGCTGACACTATGGTGTCAAACACGGATATAGACGACACTTACACTGACACAGCCGACTCGTCACTGATAGGAATGAGTTTGGCAATGTCTTTTTTATACAAGCACACATATTAATATACCTACATAGCTCAGCATGGACCATGAACTATGAACAATACACTGAAAAAAATAATGACACCTAAAAGGGGTGTTTTTTGAAGCGTACCAAAAACGCGCAGTTTTCTGGAGTCCAATTACACCCGGAATCAGACACTTTCTAGGGTATTATAACACTGGTTGAGGGAGTATTTTTATACCGTACGGCGTCAAATGATTCCCGGAATCATACGCCTTATGGAATAAAAATACACCCCAAATCAGAATCATAATACTCTAGGAAGTGTCTGATTCCGGGTGTAATCTGACTCCTGGAAACTGCGCGTTTTTGGTACGCTTCAAAAAACACCCCTTTTAGGTGTCACTTCAGGGAGTAATCGGATTTTGAGGGTGTATTTTGATCCCACACGGTGTATGATTCCGGGAATCATTTGACGACATGTGTTATAAAATACACTCCCAACCAGAGTCAGGTTACCTCGGGGGGTGTCTGATTCCGGGTGTAATCGGACTCCTGGAAACTGCGCGTTTTTGGTACGCTTCAAAAAACACCCCTCGTAGGTGTCACCTCAACGATGTCAAATGACTCTTGGGATGGTTTTTCTATACCGGTTCAGGGCCTGTTCCTGTTAGAGTCATACATCAGCTAATATCAATATCACTGGTACTATTGGTCTCCTATATAAGAAATACCGGTAATATTCGAGTGCGGGGATTGGGTTGTGTGCAGGGGTGAGGGATGCACTCGAACCGAGCTGCGGCGAGGGTATAAAGGGTATATTCATCGCATCAGAAAAACAGGTCGCCTGGGCCCTTATCTTGAGACCAATAGTATGGTACAACTAACCAACATACCCATGGGTATGTTCTGCTTCTGAAGCTTATAGGAACGATTAGCCAGACTGCAACGAGACTTTAAATGTAGCTTACATGTGTCTTCACCCTTGCAGCTACAATTTTATCTATTGACGATGACGTCTTCTTTTCAATCAGTCTTTATACCAGATATTGTCAAATGATTCTCGGAATCATACACCTTATGGGATCAAAATACACTCTCCAACAGAGTCATAATTGCAGTTGTTAACCACGTGACGCAAATTAACAATACATGCATGTCATTCTTTATTTTATATGCAACAATAAATTCCAAAACATTTGGGCACGAAATGTATGGCGAAATCTAATGAAAACTTATCGTAAGGCTCATGGGTCCGTGACTCCATTCACCGTAAGGAATTACTCACATTTAAACAATGTTCCATCAACCGGTGATTATTGCTACTTACTTAGGTAGAGTTATTCTGCAGCTTAAGGACATAAAAACTTACCTCCGTCTCCATGGTGCGTTGCTATCTTGTCCTACTTCAAAATTTCGCCGAGTCCAGGGCGCCTCGTTATTTAAATACGCATGTTGAGCAAACTACAAATAAAATCTGAAGTTTATCGTTAAAGCACTATCACTTGAAGTAAATCTACACTTTAAACAACGTTTGGCGACATTACAAGCGCGTTAATTCAAATAAGTTCCTCTCCCCGCTCACACCACACGCACCCACGTGGGCACACTTCCGGCAACTGAAGTCAACGGCTTTCCTAACGGTTTTCCTGCAAGGTCGAGCTATTTCATCTTCGTGGCGGACCGGCATGGCTAGAACACAAATGACGTCACACGACAATGCAGCTTGCTGATTGGCCGGGCATTGACTCAAACCACTGGACCTGAGTTGTGGTTCGCACCAGGGTTACAGAGTCAGAGTCAGAGTCGGGTGGAGTTGACAGTTGTGGCCGGAGTCAGAGTCGGAGTCGACTTTGGAAGCCGGAGCTGGAGTCGGAGTCTGGGTCACCGAAAATCAATTGATACCGCAGCGTATCCGGACAAATCTTTGCATGGCATTTCTTCGTCGCGCAATTCTTCGTCCGCAAAACTTCGTCCGCTCATTTCTTCGTCCGCCCATTTCTTCGTCTCCGCCTTTCTTCGTCTTGCATTTCTTCGTCTCGCATTTCTTCGTCTCGCATTTCTTCGTCTCGCATTTCTTCGTCTCGCATTTCTTCGTTTCGCATTTCTTCGTCTCGCATTTCTTCGCCTCGCATTTCTTCGTCTCGCATTTCTTCGCCTCGCATGTCTTCGTCTTGCATGTCTTCGTCTTGCATGTCTTCGTCTCGCATTTCTTCGTCTCGCATTTCTTCGTCTCCGTATTTTTTCGTCTCGCATTTCTTCGTCCGCACATTTTTTCGTCTCCGCATTTCTTCGTCTCGCATTTTTTCCCGCAAATCTTCGTCCGCAAATTGACAGTGCAGCCTGCTGATTGGGCTATTGCCTATTTCATCTTCGTAGCGGACCAGCCATGGCTAGCACACACATGACGTCACTCGGGGCATTGATTCAAATCACTGGACCTACACCAGGGCTATGGAGTCAGACAGTTAAGTGTTTTCGTAATCTGTGACTCGCTTATTAGGTGTAATTTGGCCCTCAGTCGTGCCATAATATTCTGGTGTCACTTGAAACCAATGAGGTTCAGATGACACCGGAATATTATTACACTGTTGAGGGTCAAATCACATCCAATACGTCATTTGAAAGGAATATTATGACACCACTGACGACCAAATTACACCTAATAAGGGAGTCATTGATGGTTAAAACGCTTACCTGTGTCAAATGACACCCCTAGGATTAAAAAACACCTCATGATAGCGTCGAAAAACGCTTATAAGTGTCATTTTACACTGACACCGTGCAGGAACTTACGACACGACACCTAAAATGGGAGTCAAAATTTTGGGAGTCAAATGACTCTTAGGCATGCGATTCTGACCCAGATCAATTTACACTAAAAACCGGTGTATGGACACTGATTTTCAGAATCCGATTACACCATGGGTGTCAGTTTACTCCCAAATAGAGGATCGTGATTCCCGGGGGGAGTAATTATTTTTCTCCGTGTAGAGATTGAACACTATCGACGATGCTGTCAAAACTATCTGTATTGGATTTCAGGCCATGATCAACATTAGGCGTCGGTTTCCTATGATCATTTGTAGTGCATGTGTTCTTCAAAACAACGTCTATCATAATTTTAACCAGAGTTACAGTCGCATTACATATTTTAGGTACTGTGATGATGCCACTGCCCGCTAAAACACTGCTTTTGTGTGTAGATTAATATTATTGCATATGGTATCGGACCGGCTAAACATTACAGCCCACATGCATGGCTGCAATCACAATACCTACTAAGCGCTGTCCTCACCACACAGCAGTGTGATTAGGTACAAGTTTCATCGATGACATCTCACCGTAAACGTCCAGGCGCCTCAAGGGCGGCGGCAGCAGCTGCAGCCACCGTCCCGTCGAGTCAGGAGGAGTGGAGTTGATGCTGGTTTCTGTAGATGGACTGCAAAAGCAAACGAGAATAACGTTGAAGGCTCATACATAAAACTCGCACCTAGATTGATAGGGAGCGGTCAGGTGAACCCAATCGGTTTTTGACAAATAACTAATTCGCGTAAAAAGGGAAATCACGACGAAACTTTCAGTAGCCTGAAGTTGAAATTGCACTCATGCCCTAACATTTCATGCTGCTAATCCAGATGGCCTTAATCTGTGATCTGTTTCTCGAGACCAAGTCGGGCCGGAAATGCGATTCGGAGCCTATGTCAGCGCACATTATCCTTGAGTTTCAAGATTTTTTTTTGTTATTAGAAACGTGCCATTAGTTTGTTCCAAGCTTGGCTACTTCTCAAGTTATTCGAGAAAAACTTTTTACCACCGCCCCCCGTCGGTTCTAAGTTGGCGCAGACCCCCGTCGGTGCGCGGGTTAACCCGGCACAGCCTGGGCTATTTCCGTACCCACGACAGCCTAGGGGGTCGGATCCAGACATGTGCACGGATCCCAGACAACCAATCACGGAAATCGAGATGGCCATTAGATTGACGGTCTTCAAGCATGAAATTATGGTGGAAAACATGGCTCATAGAAGCCTCTCAATGAACCAACTATTTTGCATTCCTTCAGGGTTAACAGTTCTGAGAAAATCCCTCAAGATCCATCTCGGATCCATGATTCGTGGCCATGGATCCGAGATGGATCTTGAGGGATTTTCTCAAAACTGTGAACTCTGAGGGAATGCAAAATAGTTGGTTCGTTGAGAGGCATCTATTAGCCATGTTTTCCACCATAATTCCATGCTTAAAGTCCACTAATCTAGTGGCCATCTTGATTTTCGCGTTTGGTCGTCTGGGATCCGTGCCCATGTCTGGTCGGATCCGACCCCCCCCCCCCACCTGTTATCCCGCGCGGGGATAGGGGGTAAATTTTACCCCCTCGCGAATTTTTGCAATATCTCAAAAACGGCGGCGCGCAGCGCCGCCAAACTTTCAGTACCTTTTTTTACATCAATTTGACACATTCCCTGAAAATTTGAGCGAAATCATTCGGAAATTTTATGAGAGAATGACGTTTTACTGACGTCATGTTCGCCATTTTCGCCTCAAAAAGTGCAAAATTTCAAACGACGCTAACATTTTCGTTTTTCAGGGAATCAAGACGTAACAAAAAAGGTTATACGTGATTCTACTTTGTCTATCAAATGGCTATCTCGGTTTTTTGAAGATCTTGGATTTTGGCCCCAATTTTTCCAAAAAACTGACTTTTTTGGGAAAATAATTATAACATCAAAAATTTTAAGTGTATCGAAAAAAAACGGAATGTGTCAGAGAAGTGGTCTATGTGCACCTACATATCAATTTTCAAAAGAATCGGTTCAAAAATGTGGGAGTTATTCCAAATTTAATGACGTCACGACACACAAAATTTTTGGAAAATGATTTTCTTTGAAGTTCTAGACCTCGTACAGAAACAAAAAATAGCACCATTCGATTCGCCGTGAAAAACTACATCAGATGGACACCTTTTTAGGCCTTAACAACCAACTTCAAAATTTGACCTTACTTGACCTGACCTTGGCCTGACCTTGACCTGAAATTCATCTAGAGGTGGTCCATATCACTTATTGAGTGTGCCTATTGAATTATATGAATAAAATGACCCATAAAACATGTGTCGCACATGCCCTTTTCTATATTTTGTTTTTGGTGACCTGACCTGACCTGAGCTGACCTGACCTTAACCTTGACCTTTGAATGATATTGTATGCAACGAATATTGTCTTGGTAGCCTAAGAACACGTTTTGGGCAATCAGTCTCAGTCCATGACTCCATTCTTCGGCAACTACGGTGCAAGGCCGATACTGTTGAAACTTGCAATTTGTACCCTTGACCTGACCTTGACCTTGACCTCAAAATTTAAATTAAGTACATGTTTTTAGTTGTTCGTGATGAGATCTTTCGATTGGCCAAAACACTCTTAACCTTCCAGGCGGGGGGCGGGGCATTTTTTGCACCCTCCCCCTTTAGTTTTTTTTTATACCTATATCTCCAGAACCGCTGCGCCGAATGTCACCAAACATTCAGTATCCTCCCAGGAGTAGCTATTACACATTGTGATGCAAATTTTTCCAAAGGTTATGATAGGTTGGCCGCAAATGACGTCAAAGTGATGTAATTTTTGCCATTTTCAACCCCAAAAAAGGTTTCGCGAGAAGAGCTGTCAGGCCTACATAGAATTACTAGCGCTACGATACTGCTATATCGAAATTTTGAAAATTTAGGAATTATACCCCAAAAATAAAAAAAAAACTTTTTTTGGATAAAATAGCAAAACAAAACCAAAAACTTTTAGATTTTCGAAAAAAAACGGAAAATTTGTAATAGCCCCTAGTGATTTCTGTTTACATACCAAATTTTAGATCGATACCTCTTTTTGTGGCCAAGTTATAGTGAAAAAAACTTAAAAATTGATGACGTCAAATTTTCAAACTTAAAGGTAGTGTGCCAGCTTTCCTGGACCGTATGGAGTTAATGGCCCAGATAAGGAGAACCGGATTTTTAGAACTTATCCATACCTTCAAAACATGGGCGTAACCACCGCGCTGGAACGCTGGAAATTCCAGCTTTGGGATGCTGAAATGCCGCCCCCGGTAGAGGAAGTCTGCAATTGCGGGACTCGCGGACTTCAAAACCAAGAAAAAAAACGGCACTGCTCGGTCCACTATACGCCTGACCTCAACGTGCCGCTCCTCACTAAAATAACTAGGTGCCCTCTACACGCCGCCCCTCCCAGATGTCCTTCCGCCCCTCCGCACCAACTTCCCCTCAAGTTCCTCGGAGCTCTCTATGTGCCGCCCCTCACAGAACCCCGCCGCACTCAATGTGCCGCCCCTCCGCATATAGCTCTATCGCCGTCTGTGCCGCCCTCCCCAGAGTACCTCGGCGCTCTCTATGTGCTGCCCTCGCCACAACTTCCCGCCGCCCTCAATAAGCCGCCCCCCCCCCCCCAATGCTCTATCGCCATATGTGCCCCCACCCCCCGAAGTGCCTTGGCGCCCTCTATGTGCCGCCCCTCACCACAAACCCCGCCGCCCCCAATGTGCCGCCCCTCCCCACAACGCTTTACCACCGTCTGTGCCGCCCTCCATAAACGCCTTGCCGCCCTCCCCAGAGTATCTTGGCGCCCACTATGTGCCGCCCCTCGCCACAACACCCCGCCGCCCTCAACAAGCCGCCACTCCCCACAATGCTCTATCGCAGTCGGCGCCACCCTCCCAAGGCACCTTGCCGCCGCTACGTGCCGCCCCTCCCCAGACGCCTTTCTGCCCTTACGCGCCTCCCCTTCCCAGAATGCGTCAAAACGTTTAATGATTCGCCCCTCCCTATAACGCTCCACCGACGTCTGTGCTGCTCTCGTCAGGCGCTGTGCCACCTCTCCCCGGAATGATAGCCCTCGCTGGCCCGGGGGGGGGGGGCGTTTTTCGCCCCTAACCCTAGCGAATATTTCGGCGATAGCTCAGTCAGGGGTGCTTAAATTGCTGCTGTTTACATATAATAACTACGCATTGACTTGGCGAATTGTGCTGAAACGTCTCCGATAGGTGAACATCGTGCGGACCGGGGGATTCATAATTCCATGGCTAGGTATCACAGTTTGGTTGCTACTCTTAACGTGCGCAAATGAAGGACGTGCGCACGTTTTGGCGGGCTCTGTATGCTGCCCAACACAAAGTGTTACATTTTGGGCTCGATAAGTCTAAGGGATTCGCCTATGCGAATTCAGCCCATGAGAGCGTCAGGTGAGACGCTCTGATCGCAAACAACCATCGAAGTCGCGAAATGGCCCTGTGTGATTGCTTGATGTAAGCATTCCGAGCCAACGAGTAGTGCCCTGAGCGCGCAGTAAGACTCAAGAGTAAAGCTGAGCACTTGAAAGAGTCCTCGGTCTACTGTGGGGCCCTTGAGTGGGTGAGGTCTTTGTGAGGTCTTCAAAAACGGCCGCAGAGCCGCGATTTTGGCAGCATCGTGTTCGCCTTGCTCAGGCGCGTCGAATGATATACGTTTTGTTTGGGTGAGGTCAACATAGGGTGTTGACCTCGGGTCACGGTCAGGTCAGCGCCCCTAGGTCACGAAGTTGGTCGAATGAGGTCATATCGCATATCATTCGATTCGGCAGGTCTTCCCGAGTCCATTGCTGGCTTTCCCGACCCGCTAGCTCAATTTGATCGGGAGTTATTGACGAAAAACTAATATGACCCTAATGACGTCATGAAAGGTCAACATTGCAAAAGTGACGCACGGAACCTTGCAAGGAGTGCATGAAATCACGATTCTGTGTGCTTGAGATAGTTGGAGATCGTTCCCGGCGCCAGAATAGCAGTTTTCATTTTGCCCCATTGACTTATAATGGTGAGGTCACGAAAATGACCTGACCTCATATGACCTTTAGGAAAAATCCGAGATATACAAGTTGTTAGTTTCCTAATGGATACTAGGTCCTGCAAGTTTCATTTCCCTGTGAAAGCTCCTCTGGCAGTGAGGGCGTTGCGAAGTAGCGACATCTGAAGACCGTGCAGAGATTCACTTATGACATCATAAGTCAGTGACCTGACCTGACCCGCAAATGCGGTTGGTGTCAAAAGATCCGGCTTGAATCAAAGGTCAGGTATGCCAAGTTTCAGCTCTCTATCGCCGGCGTGTTCGGAGCTATCGCGAAAAAAACCCTATGGGGGGCACCCGCCCCCCTCGGCCGGCGAGGGTTAATGCCGCCCCCGGAGGAAGTTATTTCCAGCCCATTTTTTTAGGAGTGATTACGCCCCTGCTTCAAAACTCATGGAAACGTCTTAAATTCTTCAAATTTTGAGTACCCCAGTGCGAAATTCGCCCCGACGGGTTGTCGGTCGTACCCCAACCACATTTCACACCACTATGAACAATAAATGCACACACTGAAATCGCTATTACCGATATGCTCATCCAATCAAGTTTCGATAAACCCGTTCATC